ATTTCTTTTCTCTATAAATTATCCATTTGTAGGTATTCCATTATAAGTGATAGGAAACTAAGACTCCAGGCCACCAGCCTCTGGTAGACTGGAATCCCATGGGAATCCATGGTAAGGGGAGGGCCATCTGTGCAACTGGATGGGTCAGGGAGGCTGCTTGAGGAAGGAGAGGTGTGGCTGAGGATTTAACCCAGTAGACGTAAGTGGAAGGGCTACTCAAGCAAAAAAGAGAGAATGGAAGTAAGAATGGCCTGGAGGTCAGAGGAGGACAGCAGGAAGATGGATCTCACCAACGCTAGCAAAGCCAAAGCTCCGATACGGCAGTCAGCGGCTGCCTGCGTGTGGAAGATGGGCTGAGTTTCTGAGACACATAAAGACTGAAGCTCCTTATAGATGAGAACTATGTCTTATTCCTTCCCAGCGTCAAGCATGATGCTTGGCAGGCAGAAGGTGCTCAATAAATAATTATGTACTGGATGAATGAATGAATGAATGATAGCTTGACTCCATCCTTTCTCACCACACTTCTCCCACACACCTGGCTTAGCCTGTCTTTTCTCTCCCAAGGAACAAAGAGGCACTGTGCTCAGGATGCATCCCAAACCCAATTTGTTACTCCTGATTTTTTTTTTTTCTCTTGAGAGTTTTCTGGTTGGAAGCCTCCTAATTGGAAACTAAAGGGCAAGCCTCATTCCTAGCCTTGAAACTGTTTCCTTTCCCAGGCTGCTAAAGAGCAAACAGAAAGGCTTAGAGGAAGGAGCACTTAGAAGGCTTTGGGCGAGGCTGTTCATCACATTAGCACCGGCTGACTCGGTCTATATCAGACTGGTCCGGTCCAGAGGCACAGCATGCTAGGGAAATGGATGGGCCTCAGAGACTACCAGCTTCAACCCCTTCTCTCTACATTTGACAAAGCCAAGCCCCAGAGATGGCAAGCAACCTCCCCACAGTCACACAGCAAGGCAGTGGCAGAGTGAAAACAGAACCCAGGTCCCCGCCTCCCAGCCCAGTGTTGCCCCACTGTCCTGTGGTGCCCTTCCAGGGCCATCTGGAGCTGCTTTGGGGCTTCTGCACACCCCAGCCGCTCGGGTAGTGCACTAACCACCTGGTATTTGCCTCCCCAGGGGCTCACGAGCTGGAGCAGATGCAGCTCATCCTGGAGACCATCCCTGTGATTCGGGAGGAAGACAAGGACGAGCTGCTCAGGGTGATGCCTTCCTTCGTCAGCAGCACCTGGGAGGTGAAGAGGCCACTGCGCAAGCTGCTCCCCGAAGTGAATAGTGAAGGTACCTGAGACTGAGCACCAGGCATGGTCCTTGGCCATAGAAGTCAGGCTCCCCTGGTGGTGGGCATTGCCCTAGCTACTTCCAAACTGAGGATTCCTGGCCTCTGGAGTTCAGCTGTTAGTTAGGCAGCCTGGAGGCAAGCATTGTGGTTGTCCTCCTCCTTACGCTGTCCCTCTCTCTGCTTCCTTTTCCTTATCTTCCTTGCTTGCCTGCCTTCCTCTCTTCCTTCATCCACCTCTTACATTTTTCCCCATGGAAGGCATGGTGCAGTGCAGAGAACAGAAGCTTTCTCAGCTTGTGGGCCAGACCCAGGTTCAATTCCCAGTTCTACCAGTGACTAGCTGTGTGGCCTTGGGCAGGTGACTTAACTTCCGTGAATCTCAATTTCCTTTATTATAAAATGGGTATGTAACACACAGGGTGGTTGTGACAATTAAGTGAAACAGAATTTGTAAAGCCCTTGGCGTAGGATAATTGTTCCATAAATCTTAGATGTTAGTATTATCACTGGGCTTCATACCTGCCAGAGGCTTCCTTAGGAACCCCTGATATTTGGTAGGATATAGGTTCAGCCAATTGTAAGAGTGATCCAAATTGTCAATGGCTGAACTACAATTTATTTCTTATTTAAGAAAACAGAAGTTAAGAAGTTTATTTCTCTCTTGATAATAATCCAAAGGCAGATAGTCCAGGGCGCATATGGTAGACGTGCTGGACAAGGTCATCCAGGGGCCCAAGCCCCTTCTGTCTTGTTGTACTGTCGACTTAGGGTGTCGTCCTTGTCCCCCTGGAGAAAGTAGTGGAAGGAGGGCAGGTCCCTCGCCCTGAAGGTTGTCAGCTGGAATTTGTCCACCTCACTTCCACTCACATCCTATTGCCAGAACTTAGTCACGTGGCCCCACCTAACTGCAGAGGAGGCTGTGAGATGGATATTTATTCCGTGTCATTTCATATCCATCATTATGAGAGAGGAGAACAGACATTGGGTACAAACTAGCAGTCTCTGCCACACTCCTGCCCCATCAAGAGATTGAGAACTTGGACGAACACTGTCTTTGGCCAAGACCCCCATTCAATCAATAAATTGCTCAGTTTTCCCATCACTAAGGGAGGGGCAGTGGTATTTGGTTCACCACAAATTAAGACTCGGCTCATCCATATTTCCTTTGATTCCTAGGCCTCTGTAGAAATACCAACATGTGCCAAGAGCTGTGTTCACTTCTCAGGGACTCTGGATCAGGGATGTGGCATCCAAGCCCATCACCCCAACCCCCCAAGCAGCCACAC